CCGCCCCAGGCCTCGAGCGGACGCGCGGCGGAGCCGTTCCCCGACGGGCAGCGGGCGCCTGGCCGCCGCATCTGGGAGAGCGCGGCTTCGCTGCTGCGCCGGAGTCCTCTCAGATCTTGAGGCGGTAGGTGGCTGGGAGGACGCGCCACACGCGGGGGCAGAAGTCAGGCCCCGGGGTTGAGGTGCGGGCGGGCACGTCTCCCGGGTCGGACGTCGGTAACGTTGAGGGGACGCGGAGAGGCGCTGCGGTCGGTCGGGACACAGCAGTCAGGGTCCCCACGGTGGTCGTCGAGTGCTGAGGGCGCGAGCGCATCGGAAGGGGAGGTGGTGGCTGCTGTGGGAAAACCGGCGACGGGCGAGTGGCCGAGTGACGCCGCTGAGGGGATGTTGAAAAGCGGACGACGCGCCGCGTCAAGTGCCTGGCGCCCTCTGTCGCGGGGCCTGCCCCTAGGTGGCGGGTGGTTTGAAGATGCCTGGTCCCCCATGCCCTGACTTCAGCCCTACTAATTTTGGTTAAAAGTTTTTTCCCCTCATTATTGTAGTTTTTCTTAATAAAATAAGTAATAAGCTAATAATTACATGAAATTATATTGAAGAAGAAAAGAAAACCCAGGAGGAAAAAAGAACCAAAAAACATGTGTGGTTAATCCACAGAAGGAAGGCAAAGGGTTAATGAAGACCTTGGCGGGTGTTCCGCGTAACTTATATGTAACGGTATGCCATTTAAAAAAATGAGATATAATCGACATATAACGTTAGTTTCGGTTGTAGACAACGATTCAATGTTTGTATCAAAAGTTCTTAATGGTTGGGATTTTAGGCAAAGCTACAAAAAAGGACAGTTAGGTCAGTTAGGATAACCATAGGCACCCATTACCTGGACGATTTCATCCCACCTAAATGTTGTGGTGTTTGTATTGAAAGATGCTCCACAGAGAAAAAAAAAATTTTTGGGTCAGTTGTAAAGAGAAGGCATGAAATGGAAAATATGATGGAACACTCATCTTACAACTTTGATATTTTAGTTTTAATTTTTCTTGACTATCACAATATGATTTGTGGAATATAAAATGTCTTTCATCACCTGTCATAATTGGTTTATCTCTTACTATAGTTCCTTTATATTACTTTTCATCTATCAGTTTGTCAGTATGTGCTGTTTCCTTACAAGCAGCATTTGGTTTCAAGGAATCCTAACTTTTTAAAGTAATATTTTGAAGTTGAACATTGAGATTAAATCCTATGTGGTTATTATATGGCAAATATACGGGAGGTAGATGAAAGCACCTTTTTTCACTTGTCTCAGCTTTCTTTCGTTTTATATGAGTTTATTTCTTAATTGCAGCAGAACCGTCAGCACTTTCTAAAGAAATCTAAAATTTAAGTTGGAAGTTCTAAGTATGGTACCCAACTTGTAAATACAGTACATAGTATGTTTTTTATGTTTATGTGACCTATGATTAGGATGACAGTGTACCATGTCTACAGAATGAGGAAAGCATAGTAATCCCATAATTTATTTAGTATTCTAAGAAAAATTGTAAATTGAGGAAATGGAAATTATTAGTACATACCAATTTATTCAGCAAGGCTTTATTCATAAATGTCCCTTCTCATAAGTAATTTTTTTTTTTACCCATACAATGTCCACATGGAATAGTTTTCTTTTACTTACGTAACACACAAGTTTAGAGACAAGGGCATGAACTATATAGTCAAATCCTAATTTCTACCAATTATTAACTATGTGAACTTGAGCATGCCTCTTATTTTTGTGAATGTCAGGTTTCTCATCTGTAAAGTGACTAATAATGATTTTCTACAACAGTTAATGTATGGCTCAAAATTAAATGAGATAATACGTGTAAAAGATTTTTTCTGGATTAGGACCTCAGAAAATGGAGTTTTACTTTAAAAAAATAGTATATGTTGGGTAATAAGATTGTGACCCAATTGATGGGTATATATGCTTATTATCTCATTGTAATGTATTTTAGAAAATTCTAGGTTAATTTATAATTTCAGAATTGGTGGGTCCTGAGGTTTCATATTTAGTTCAATTTTTTTTTTTTAAAAACAGGAAAGAAACCTAAGATATAGTTAGTGTTGCTAGATGTAGAATAGCAACTACACTTAAGTTTCCTGACTTAAGCAGACCAATATTCTGTTTATACCACTTGGCCTTTTAAGACGATTTGTTAAATAAGTGTAAACTTGAAACAAAAACTTTATTCAGTAACCATTTCCCAGTATATATTAATAAAATGAATTTTTAGAGACACTGGATCAAAATGACCTTTAAAAAATATTTACACCACAAAACTATATATTCACATTTTAAAAGACAACTTGATGATAGGCCCACTACTTGTTACCCAGTGTGGTAGGTAGGATTCTGTTTTCCTTGCGAGCAAGCGTTGTCCTTTGTAACAGTTGCTATCATAAATGCCTGCCCTAGGTAATACCAGTAGCTTCAAAGGAAACTTTTGGAGCGCTCGGTTCAGTGAGTGAAGCAGGCATTGGAATGTTGATTGAAGTTATTTTATATACTGACTTTGTAGGTCAGTTAAGTCTTGATTATTTTTAACCTAAACTGAGAATTAGGCTTTGGTTTGTGAAGTCGTGTCCTTCACAGATTATGATCCTGTGGATCAGTTTTAGAATAATAATTACTTATTGTAAATGCCTTTTCTGTTAATAACACTGTTTAGGACATGATGCTGTTGTGTAGTATGCATCTCAAACTTATTCCTTGTGATGTCAGTGTCTCTATGCAAGCATAGGTTACTTTAAAAAACAAAACAAAACATAGTACTACCATCTTTTCTAATTTCCTGAGCTGATGTGGATTTATATATCTGGAGCCCTTGCTGTGGTTTTCCTACTACAAATTGGAAGGATAGGTGATACTAAAAGATCTTTTATTTTTTGTTTATTTATTTGTGTTGCAAAATCATATAAATAGTTCTGAACTCCCCAACTCTTGAAAATCCCTAGTTTGAATACTGTGGATTTGCATTGCTCAGCAACTGGAAAAGACTTTACAATCTACCAGCTCAATTTCAGCTGAGCAATGAAAAACAAGAAAGTGTGTGCCAACATAGTCTTTTGTATTCTGGTTCGTTAGTTTCATATGGGGAACAGGATGGAAAGTTACTACATACTAGTATTAGGGTCCTAATTAAAAATGTTAGGATAGACATTAAAGAATGCAATATTAGGTTGCTTTTTGGTCCTTATTTAAAATATTTCCTTCCACATAGAAAATATCCGATAAATATTTGTTTGAAGTATTTTGGTTTTTGCTACATATGCTTATAACTTTTTTTGCTTCTTATATCAAAGTTGTATTGCCAGCAAGTACAGAAGCATTAGTTTTGTTTAGAAGGTTAATAGCCAATGTTGAAATACCAGTTAACAGACACATTACAAAGCTAGATGGGTGTTAACTTGGAGTACTGGCTTGCTTATCTCCAAACTTTAGGAAAAAGAAGCTATTTTGTGCTTAGTTATCATTACTGACTTTGAGAGGTTGTTCATAAATTTATGCTTTTAACATTTGAACTATGTCCAAGAGTATTTTTAAAAATAGATGAAAGCTTTTCTTTGGAGCTAAAAGGGAGTTATTAACCCTATTTTATACTTAGGGAAACAATCACTTGGACTAAAGATCTGCTTAAGATCACATGGTTACAATTGTTTCTGGATGAGCAGGTGCCAAGTCAGGTGGAAGTTTTACTTTTGGCTTTGTCTTGATAGGCATCAAAATTTGGAAAGCTGTGTCCCATTCATGCCTCAGAAGATTTTAGTTATATTTAGGAGGTATTTAAATTTACAGATTTGTTTAGTAAAAGTAATTATGTGGCAGGTACTAGGATGCAAAGATAAATAAGGTCTAGTTTTTTTGGCGTCAACTAAGTCTAATCAAATAGGCGTGTAATAGATTTACTGGGATACATTTTGGAAAAATTAACAGACAAAGTACGGTAGGGACCAGCGGAGGAGAAAAGAGAAATTATTGTTATTATTTTACTATCAACTATTTGTGAGGAACTAGAGAACATCACATGAATTATTTTATTTAATGTTACTGTTGAGACATGAGGATCTTTTCCAGAGAAGTAACAGGAACCTGACCTTGATCTTGAAGGATGAAGAACAATTTGGGAGAAGAGCAGCAGGGAGAGTAAGGAAATTCCAAACGGAGCACCTGAATGTCCAGATATATGATGAAACAAAATAACGTTTATGAATTCAGTAATTGAACATCCACTGTGTTCTAGACTCTGTGCTAGACACTGGAGATATACCTGAGTGATAGAGCTGTAGTTTAATGGTCAGATAATAGGCAATTGCAACTAGTGCAGTAAGGACCACATTGGAAGAAGATAGAGGGGTGCTTTGTGAGCATATAAGGGTACTTAACCAGAACTTGGATAATTCTGCCTGAGTATGGGGTGGAAAAAGAGGTTGGGGCTAGCTTGATTATAGAGTGTTGGCCAGAAGCATGAGCATGGGCATAGCCATCCATCACTTCCTAGACTCATGACCTTGAGCAAGTTACCTAATTTCTCTAAGCCTTATCTGTAAAATTAGGATTAAAAAAATAATAAACTAACATTTTTTGAACTGTTCCTGTGTACCAGGCATTGTGCTAATGCTTTATACAGATTATCTTATTTAGTCTTCACATCAAACCTACGAGGTAGGGGCTGTGGTTTTCCATAGTTATATAACTAGGTGGTGGAGCCATGATATGAACCCAGGTAGGCTGACCTGAGACCTGGGCTCTAGCTATTAATAGTGCCTAATTTATAGAGTTCTTCTGAATGTTAAATACTATAACCTAAGTAAATGGTTAACTATGCATGACACATGAATGGTGGCTCCTGTTTCTATTATTAATAATCCAGGAGATGATAGTGAACTGAAGTTTTTTAAGCAGTTGTGTGTGTGTAAAGGGATCATAGTTTAGAGAGGAAAGAGCCTGTATTCACCCATTTGTTTAGCAAATGCTTGTTTTGAACCTGCTTTGGCTTCAGTCCAGGTACTATGTTAGTTGCAGGGGACACAGGGTGAATGAAAATATTGTTCCTCATTTTAAGAAGAATCTGTTCCTCGCTTTTGCCTAGTATGGAAAACAAATAAATCAGCCATTCTGGTATAGTACAATTTTCTCTGAATGCCACGATGTGGGCACATTTAGTGTGTCCCAGGAACATAGGGAGAGGGAATATTTAAATCAGACTAGGGGGTGATGAGGGAGGTGAATTAAGAACTACTATAGAACTAAAAGACTAGTGGTGGGAGTGAAGAAAATAGATTTGAGAGATATTTTGGAAATAGAATGGACAGGAATTAGAGACTGATTATGAGTGTGTGGGGCTCTAATTTAGACCGTCAAATTGAAGGTGTCCTTCACCAAGGGGAGTCTGAGGGAGTTGGTGATGACTTTAAGGAATACTGGAGGAGGGTACATCTTTGGAGTGAAAGTAATGAATTTGACTTTGCATATGTTGAATTTGAAGTACCTGTGATAAGATATAAATGGAAATATATTTAAGCAATTAGAAAAATAGAGCTGGAATTTAAAAGAGAGGTAGATGCTGGATGTACAGATTAGGGCGTATTTATCTTGTAGGTAGATAGTTGCAATCATGAGAATAGATGAGGTTAGCTAAGAGGACCAAAGCCAAATTTGGAAAAATTCGTAAATTTAATGGGAGAAAAGAAGAGGAGTCAGCTAAGGAAGTTAGAAGAGGCAATTAAAGAAATAGGAAACAAACCAAAAGAAGAGTCAGGGAAGGTAAGGGAGGAGAGTGTTTTAAAGAGGGAATGTCCAGTTGTGACAAATGCTCTAGAGGGGTCTAAGGTTGTTGCATATTAAACGCTTATGTTTGTGTTTTCCACCTTAACTTATAAAATAGATATCTTCACATAAATGTTCTGCTTATTTGTGTTTATGTTAAAGCATCTTAATTATCTTGTCCAAAAGATAAAAGTGTATTTTTCCCTCCTGAAGTATGGAACCTGAAGGTCTTTGTGATAATGGAAACCAAAAAATTGATTGGGAAACCACTTCAACCAGCAAGACCTGCTCGTCATCTGACTTCTCCCCCTGGTGAGTGATCTAGGGTACACATCTTTAAATATTAATTACTTAATGGCTAATTAGTATTTGAAAACCTAATTAATATATAAAGTAATTAAGGTAGATATTTAAAGAAATAATGAAAACTAATGATCTCTGTTTGAAGAATTTAAAAATATTACCAAAGAAAAAGATTCTTAATAATTTGCCAGTCTGTAGTCTACCAGACCAGCAAAGGTAAGAAGAATAGCTGTTGCCTGAGAGCAACTTTGTGTATTTTTTTCATGTCTCATTTTCATGATTAACTGGCTTCTGCTCAGAATGATATTCTCAATGCAAATTGTGTCTTGTGATTATGATCACTACAGAGCAGTCATGCTGGAGAGAGACTTAGCCTTTTAACAAAATATATCAAATTGTAAAAAAAAAGAAAAAAGATTAGTGCAAAACAAAACTTGCATATTAGGACTCTGCTTGAGCTGGAACATATAATCTAATTTCAGAAAATCTAAACAAAAAAAATTCTAAAATTAAAAAATTTTCTTTTGCCCATGAAACTAATCTTTTGGACAAATTCTTGAAATACTTGGTATTTAATTCCTAAATTGGAATATTAACCTTTTTATTCTTTTCATTATTTGTTGCCAGGTTGGCTTCTATATTCTAACTTAGGTGATATTTATTTATTTATTTATTTATTTATTTATTTATTTTTATGGAAGGTTGGCCCTGAGCTAACATCTGTTGCCAATTTTCCTCTTTTTTTCCTTTTTTCTCCCCAAAGTCCCAGTAGATAGTTGTATGTCATGGTCATACATCCTTCTAGTTGCTCTATGTGGGACGCTGCCTCAGCATGGCTTGATGAGCAGTGAGTAGGTCTGCGCCCAGGATCCGAACCGGCGAACCCTGGGCCACTAAAGCAGAGCACTGCAACTTAAGCTATGCCACTGGGCCGGCCTCAAACTTAGGTGATATTTAAATCTGTATTTAAATTCTCTTTAGTCCATGTGTTGAACTGAATAACTGGCTATTTAGAAAAAAGGAAAAAATAGCCATTTCATCAAGTACAAAGATGAAGCAGAAAAGATAGAGATGGTGCCAATTCCTCAGTCCTCCATTTGTTCTTCCGTCCTTGCTTCCTGCAAGGAAGATTGTCTCCACTTTGGCCATGTTTCCTCTGAAGATGGCTGTGACTTAGGACAGACAAATGAAATTAGTGGATCTTCTGGACCATAGCTTAGCATTGTTGGTGTCGTATACTTCTGATATGTTGAAGAAGCAGTTGTGTTAGGTCACGTCTCAGCTTTTATCCTAAAGGGAAGAGTGTAAAGCCATTGTCAGCAGCTCCTTTCTGTGAGCAACCTTTTACAGGATCCCTCCCTCCCTCATCTGTGCAAATTCAGTTTTTCACTGATCCTTTCCCTCCCACGATATTACAAGGGTAAATCGGGGTGGGCAGGTAGCACTGATCTTTCATTTAATTATATCCTCTTAAGATACTGACAGGAGTAAGGGCTTACTAGGCAGTAAAGTTTAGTAAATCATAAATTAATTTTTGCCTTTCCCAACATACTTTCATACTCCTTGGCCAGCTCACATCCCCAAAGAAATTTACTTTTTATTCAAGACTCAGATTGAATTACTTCCTTTTGTGAAGCCTTCCTTGATACCCCAAAGCTCACTCTGCTCTCCCCTTGTATCTTCTCTGTAGCTCTCATATAACTTATTTATTTTTATTATAGTCATTATTTATGAGCTTATCTTTTAAAGTAGACTATGAACTCTTTTATCTCTGAACTCTTTTAATGCTTATATACCCATCTGCTAAAACAGTGGCTGACATTTCATAGATTTGAGTAAATGAACTATCAGAAAACATTTCTGAACAGTGCCTAGAAGATCCTGGACACTTAAGGTTTTTAGGTGATGTTATGTCATTTATTGAAGTCATGGATATTTAAAATAGTTTTCTTTTTTTCTCTCCTAACAGAAGCAGTATTCCCTTTCACCTTTCAAAATGAATACCCATGCAACACTCAGTGCTTACAAAGTGGAGTTAGCAGAGTAAGTCAGAAATTATAATAAAATGAAGCATTACAGACTGGAAAGTATATCTGTTAGATGGCTGTTGTATGCCAGTTACTATGCCACCCGCTTTATATGCTTTTTAAAAAGATCATATTTCAAGCATATATTAAGGAGATTAAACATTCGTTATACCTGTTGCCCCAGCATTTTCAAATCTAAACATTTTGCTATATTTGTTTTAGAAAATTTTAAAGAAAAACTTTACAGATACAGTTAAAAACCCCTGTATATCCCTCCACCATCCCATTTCCTTCCCACCCTTCTGCAAGAGAACTATCCTCAATTTGTTACTGCTTCTATGAATGTATTAGTACGTATGCTACAACAAATAGAATTGTTTTCACTGTTTTACAATTTTATATAAATAGTATCATACCAGATAAGTTTTTGCCTTTTTTGTTTTTTTTTTGCATTTAGGCTTATATTTTCTGATTTAATTTTTTGGCTAAGTAAAATAGTCACAAAGTTTAAAATTTAAAACATACAAACTGGCAGTTAGTGAAAAGTTTCCCTCCAGTCTCTATCCCCCAGTTACATGTTTTCATCTGACTGGAAGTAACTGTTGTACCAGTTTCTTGTCTAGATACTTTCAGAAATAGATTATGCGTTCACAAGCATAATATATCTGTAAACGGAATACTAGGCAACTATTAAAATGAATAAAGCAGTTCTGTATGTGTTGATACAAAAAAATATTTTCATATATATATTAATATACCATATTTTTCCACTTTCTGTTGATGGGCACCAGCGCTTGTTTCTGTTTTATGATAAATGCTTGTAAGGAACATCCATCTATGTGTTACATTTTATAAATGTTTAAGAGGTTTTCTACAGTATAAAACTGGAGTAGAATTGCTATGTTAAGAGATAATCTTATCTTCAGTGTTATTAGATACTGCCAGATTACTCTCCAAAGTGATTTGTACGAGCAGGGCATGAGGGCTCTGATTTTTCTACATCCTTATGTTTTTAGTGTCAGATTGAACAACTGTTTCTTGTTTAATGAGTGATAAATCGTATCTTTTTGTTGGTTTTAATTTTTAATTCTCTATTGTGAAGTGGAGCATCTTTTCATATGTTTAATTTGGCTATTTGGATTTTCTCTTTTGTGAATTGCCAATTCATAGCTTTTGCCCATTTTTCTTGAGTTGTCTTTTTTTAATTTTTTTTATTTATTTATTTTTTTATTTTTCCCCCAAAGCCTCAGTAGATAGTTGTATGTCATAGCTGCACATCCTTCTAGTTGCTGTTTGTGGGATGCGGCCTCAGCATGGCCGAGAAGCGGTGCGTCGGTGCCCACCCAGGATCCGAACCTGGGCCGCCAGTAGCAGAGCGCGTGCACTTAACCGCTAAGCCACGGGGCCAGCCCATTGAGTTGTCTTTTTCTCCTTGGTTTTTATGCCTTTAAAATATATTCTGGATTCTAATTATTGTTCTTACATGCACAGCAAATATTTTCTTTCCTGGGAATATGGTCTATGAGAGAATTATTTATTTTTTATGGTGTTTTTGTTCAGAAGTTTTAAATCTTAATGTAGTCATATTATCAACGGTTTTCTTTATGATTTCACTTTTTGTGTCATTGTTTATGAAGTCTTCCCATCCCTAAGATCAAAAGATATTTTCCTGCATATTTTTCCAAAAACTTTAAAGTGTTCCTTTCGTATTTAGATGTATAGTCTACCTGAAATTAACGTGTTATATTATATGAGATAGAAATCTGATTTTTTTATATAGATGACCAACTGTAAAGCATAATTTATTAAATGATCTATTTTTTCTACACAGATTTATGCCATCTTTATTGTATAGTAAGTTTTCATATAAATAGGGTCTGTTTCTGGGCTTATTATTCTATTCTGTTGATCTGTTATTTGTATCTCTGTGTCAATACCGTGATACCTTAATTATTCTTTATATTAATTTTTTTATGTCATTGTAATGTTTTATTTGTTCTAGCAGCTAGCATTTACCTAATTAATACAATAGTAATATTCATAACTCTTTGGAACCATTGACCTCCTTCTAGAAACTTTATATGTAAAAAAGGAGTATATTAGTATTGTAAATTTTATAGAGAAATATCAAATTATGCAATTAAATTTACTTCTAAATTTAAAATTTTGTGTGCTGCCTCAATTATAATGCAAAAGCTACCAGAACGTATGTCAGAGATGCAACGTAATTCATAGTGAAATGTACTTTTTACTAACTATATTTTTTAAACCAACTTTATTGAGGTATAATTTACATATGGTAAAATGAACTCATTTTTTCAGTGAGTTTTGGCAAATATATACCGTGTAACCAACCCCTCAGTGAAGATATAGAACATTTTCATCTTCTGCAAGAGTGCCCTTATATCACTTTGCAACCATTCACCATTCCCCTACTTCCACTACCGCTAATGCTCTCTCCTGCTTCAGGCATCCACTAATCTGCTTTCTTTAACTATAAATTAGTTTTGACTGTTGTAGAATTTCAATGAAATCATACAATATATAGTCTTTGGAGTTGAATTTTTTTGCTCAGCATAATGTTTTTGAGATTGTTCCATGTTGTATATATCAGTAGTTGGTTTCTTTTTAATGTGGAATAGTATACTGCTGTATGAATACAGGACAGTTTGTTTATTCATCAGTTGATGGACATTGGATTGTATCTAGTTTTTGGGTATTATGAATAATGCCACTGTGGATGATTGTGTTCAAGTCTTTGTGTGGATATACACGCAATACCCAGGAGTGGAATTTATGGGTCATGTAAGTTTGTTTAGCTTTATAAGAAACTGCCAAAATGTTTTCCAAAGCTGTTGTACCATCTTATATTCCCACCAGTAGTGTGTGATAGTTACAGTTACTTCATAGCCTTGTCAACACTTGGTATGCTCAGTCTTTTTATTTTTAACTGTTTTAGTGTGTGAATAGTGGTATCTTATATTTTAAATTTGCATTTTCCTAATGACTAATGAGATTGAGCATCTTATTATGAACTTATTTGCCATCTGTATTTTTCTTTCTCTCAGTGTCTGTTCAAATCTTTTGCGTGTTTTTAAAATTTGGGTTGTCTTTATCATTGAATTTTAAGTTTGTTGAAAATCAGTATATCATACAAGTATGAATTTATTTCTAAACTCTCTATTATGTTCTATTGATTTATATGTCTATTTTTTCCAGCTTTGAGATATAATTGACATATCACATCATGTAAGTTTAAGGTGTACAGTGTGATGCTTTGATACATATATATGTTGCAAAATGTTTACCATAATGAGTTTAGTTAACACATCCTTCATTTCCCATAATTACCGTTTTATTATGTTGAGAACTTTTAAGATTTACTGTCTTAGCAACTTTCAAGAATAGGTTACAGTATTGTTAACTGTAGTCACCATGCTGTGCATTAGATTCCCTATATGTATATCTTTATGTCAACATTACACTTTACAGACTACTGTGGCTTCATGATAAGTCTTGAAATCAGGTAGTGCAAGTTCACTAACTTTGTTCTTTTTCAAATTTGTCTTGGCTATTCTAGGTCCTTTGCATTTCCATATAAGTTTTAAATGAGCTTGTAAGTTTCTACAAAAAAGCCTAATTGAGTCTAAAGATTAATTTGAGAATTAACATCTTAACAATATTGAATCTTCTGATCCATGAACATGACATCTCTCTCCATGCTTTGTATTTTCCAGCATAGGAGTATTGAATATCTTTTGTCAAATTTATAAGCATTTCATATTTTTTGATACTAAGTGATTTTTTGGTAAATTTCAAATGCTACATTTGGCTGCTAGGATATACAGAAGTACTGTTGATTTTTGTATATTGACCTTGTTAAACTCACTTATTAGATCTTGTAGCTTTTTTGTAGAGTCTTCTCTCCGTTCTTGCTCTATTATGGTAATAATTTTACTTGAGCTTGTATTATAAATACACAATACATTGCTATTTTTTTGCTTTCATGTGTTATCTTTTAGAATAATTTTTTTAAAAAGAATGAATTTTATTTTGCCTTCATTTATTCTATTTCCAGCACCGTTAATTTCTTTGTGTAAATCCATGTTCCTGTCTGGTATTATCTTCCTTGTGTCTGAACAACTTCTTTTTTTTTTCTGTTTTTTTTTTTATGGTGAGGAAGATTAGCCCTGAGCTAACATCTGTTGCCAATCCTCCTCTTTTTGCTGAGGAAGATTGGCCCTAGGCTAACATCCATGCCCATCTACCCCAACTTTATACATGGGATGCCTGCCACAGCATGCGTAGGTCCATACCCGGGATCTGAACTTGTGAACCCTGGGCCTCCGAAGTGGAATGTGTGAACCTAACCACTATGCCACTGGGCCAGCCCCTAAACAACTTCTTTTAACCTCTGTTTTTTATTATTAACTCATAATAAAGTAATTTAAAACTTTGACTTAAAATAACAGCTTATTGTTATCTTTCATGGCTCTGTGGGCTGACTGGGCTCAGGTGGCCATTTCTCACTTTAATTTAGTAATGTCGTTGCAGCCACATAGCATCTAGGACTGGAGTCATTTTAAGGCTTAACTGGATGGCCAAATGGCTCACTCATATGGCTGGCAGTTGATGCTGGCTGTTGGCTTAGCGTTCAGCTTCTCCTTTGGACTGGAGGGAGCATTTGTTATCTCTTGTCTTTTTGATAATAGCCATTCTAACAGGTGTGAAGTGATATGTCATTGTAGTTTTTTTTTTTTTTTAAGATAAATCTGGAACATCTTTTTTTTTTTTTTTTTTGCAGGGGAAGATTCACCCTAAGCTAACATCTGTTGCCAGTCTTCCTCCTTTTTCTTCCTTCCCCCTACACCCTCCAGTGCCCCAGTTACATAGTTGTGTATAAGTTGTAAGTTCTTCCAGTTCTTCTATGTGAGCCACAGCCACAGCATGGCAACTGACAGACAAGTAGTGTGGTTCTGCACCTGGAACTGAATCCAGGCCGTTGAAGTGGAGCACGCCAAACTTTAACCACTACGCCATCAAGGCTGGCTCTCATTGTGGTTTTTATTTACATTACCCTGATGATTAGTAATGTCAAGCATCTTTTCATGTACCTACCTCTCGACCATTTGTATGTCTTCTCTGGAAAAATGTTTACTCAGGTCCTCTGCTGATTATTAAATCAGATTATTTGTTTTTGGCTCTTGAGTTGTGTAAGTTCCTTGTATATTTTGGATATTAACCCCTTATCAGATATATGGTTTGCAAATATTTTCTCTCATTCTGTAGGTTGCCTTTTCATTTTGTTGATTGTTTCTTTTGCTTTGAAGAAACTTTTTAGTTTGATGTAGTCGCACTTAATTTTGCTTTTGTTGCTTGTGCTTTTGGTGTCATATCTAAAAAATCATTGCCATAACAACCAAAGTCAAGGAGGTTTTTCCCTGTTTTCTTCCAGGAGTATTACAGTTTCAGGTCTTATATTTGTTTTTAATCCATTTTGAGTTCATTTTTGTCTATAGTGTAAGATAAAGTTCCAGTTTCATTCTTTTGCTTGTGGATATCCAGTTTTCTCAACACTATTTTTTGAAGAGATTGTCCCTTCTCCATTGCGTATTCTTGGCTCCCTTGTTAAAGATTAGTGGAATATATACGCATTGGTTTATTTCTAGGCTGTCTTTTCTGTTTCATTGGTCTCGGTGTCTGTGTTTATGCCAGTATCATACTGTTTTGATTATTATAGCTTTGTAATACAGTTTGAAATCAGGAAGTGTGATGCCTTCGGTCTTGTTCTTCTTACTCAAGATACTTTGGCTACTCAGAGTCTTTTGTGGTTCCGTACAAATTTTAGGATTGTTTTTTCTATTTCTATGAAAAATGATATTGGGATTTTGATAGGGATTGCATTAAATCTATAGATCACTTTAGGTAGTATTGACATTTTGACAATATTCTTCCAATCCATGAACACAGGATGGGATATCTTTCCATTTATATATGTCTTCAGTTTCTTTAATCATTGTCTTAGAGTTTTCTGTGTGCAGATATTTCACCTCCTTGGTTTAATTTATTTCTAAGTATTTTATTCTTGTTGATACATTTTAGAAAGGGATTGTTTTCTTGATATTTTTTTGGATTACAGTTTACTTTTGAGTTTGATTTTAGGTCTTGCATTTAAGTAGGTGTTAGAAAGATAGTGAAGTGTGCCTTTGCTGAAATTTTCAAGATGAAGAAATTAGTTTTTAAAAAGGACTATATAATTCATATTATAGTTTATTAAATTTAACATTCAGGTAGAACTTTGGAGAACTGAAATCTTGGGCATTTTCTGATTTTTTCTACCTCTACTTAAAAATAAAAAAATTCAGCTAAAATGTGATTTTTTTCTGATGACTTAATTCTGACATCTCAGTAGTGTAGAATTGCCTCATTACTCTTCACTGTGTTATAGGGTTAGATAATTAATCCTCTGACTTTAGGCAGAGTTACCTTGGCAGAGTTTGCAGATATTTAAGGAATGGGCTGCAACTTGCTAATACAGTGATTGATGCAGCAGAGATGTTCCTTCCTCAGGATAGGTGTTGCCAAAGAAACTTACCTTAGTGAATTACCATGGTCCAAGGTCTGGCCTACTGTTAGCTAACTGAATTTTGTCAGCATAAGAGGAGATCATTTCTTAGGGATACTGACCAAGTATGTGAAACTGATTTATAAAATCAGAAAACCCATTATTTTATAAGGAGAAATTCTCCTGTCTTGGACTCTGGGATTCTCTTATTGGTTCCACTAGTGTGTTATCTGCTCTAGGGAGATTTATGGTAATCTAAATTGTAATCAAAATATTTCTTGGTGAGCATGGAATCAGATGAAGAGGAGTTAGTTAAAAAATGGTTTTTAAAAATATCGTCAGATTAGTTGAGCCACTCTCATAATAAAGATGGTCCTGTAAGTAGGACTGGAAAACTGGGCTAAAGCCTCTCTGTTCTCAGGACTGAACTCTGCCAATGTTTTTGCTTTCTCTTTGCCTCATTGGATGAAGCAATTCTTTCTTATTTCTTCTGTTCCAAGGTGTTGGGTGAAACAGTCCGTATGCTTATAAACTGACATCAGGCTCATACTTCACATGAGATCAAAAAAAGTAAATACTGTAGTATTATTATTGCAGATTTTTTGAATAAATATCTGTTGTTTTCATGAATTATCTATTTTTAATTACTTTGGAATTATTTATCTTTAGGACCATATAATTCATCTTTGGTTTTATGTTCCCTTTCAAAAATAATTATAACATGACAAAAATAGTTATAGACATATGTGAATGTGTTTTGAAAGATGTTTTTGTTGCTTCCTTTTAATAAACATACTTATAAGGTTACTTATCCTTTAGGCCAAAAATATGCCTTGACTATACTTTGATTGTTTAGGAAAATATTTTTGTATGGTAAAAAAAAAAAAGGTTATATAAAAATTTTAAACTCTAGTTAAAAAGTGTATTATCTTCTTCTTTCAACAGTGTAAGACAAATGGAATGCAAGCTGTTTCTCAAGGTCTTAATGAACAACAGCAACATCAGTCTCCAGTTAAAAAAGGTAAATTTTTACCATAATTCCCAAATTTCATAAGCGAGTCTTAGCATTCATGTAAAGTTAATATTTGCTTAGCTGCAAACCTTATGTACATAAGAAATTTTATTATATTCTTTTGGTTAATTTCTGTCTATATTAGTCAGGGTATAGGTTTGACTGCTCTAAAGGAGAGACCATAATAACAATGTCTTAAACAAGATAGAAGTTTATTTCTATATCTTCTATATCATGTAAAATTTTGAGTTGGTGTATTCATTCTGCTCTGTGAAGGTGCTACTGGTGTCGGTATTATACTGTCTAATTGCTTTGCTGTCTTTAACACATGGCTTCCATCTCATTGCCCGAGGTGAATGCCTCTGCTCCAGCCATCATGTCCCCTATCTAGCCATAAGGAAGGAAGTAAGGGAGAAGGAAGTTCTCCTTAAAAGTATGACACAGAAGTTGCATATATCACTTCCACTTAATATCTCATTGGCCAGAACTTAGACATGCTGTACAAAGCAGACTGGAAAATGTACACTTTAGCTATGCAGCCAGCTAGTTCTATTACTGAAGCAGAAGGAAAGCACTGCTCTTGGGGAGAACCAATAGTCTCTCCCACACCAGCTACTCTTTAATAAAATGAAAATTATTTCTTGATTTCCAAAATTTTATCATAGTTTAAAAGTTATGAAAATACTGTTAGCTTTTTTTCTAGTATTTAACTCCATATTGCTAAATAAAGTGTTTATTTCCAAATTTCTCATTTTTTGATATTATATATTGATGGGTTATTGATGGAAAATGACAACTTATATTTTCCACATCAGTCCCCTCACTTCTTCACCCTTCTGTCTCCCCTCTCCACCTGCTAGTTACTTCATAAATTTCAGTTAAAGCATTATCACTCTTTATATGACTATGTGAATACAGTTGCTTAGCCAAGAGGTACATATCTCTTTTTCATATAATCCATCATTTTTCCTGGAGCTAACATTTGCCTTGTTTTTCTGTGTAACTGTTGTTAACTTTTCCCCTCAAGTGCTCCAACAACTCTGTCACACTTATCTATAATGTTTTTCTTAAGCTCAAATATATCAGTTGGTATTTTTTCCTCTAGAGACTTTCCCTTCAGAATCCTCCATTATCTGTTCCAGTACGGACTAGTTGCTCTTCAGTACTGCTGTGTAGCTGTTGTCCTGGAATGAACTTTTCCTGTTACCTTGAGATGCCCCTTTGCAATTCTTTGGTTTCTTTTTCTTTTTTTTTTTAATTGAAGTAAAATTCACCATTTAAACCATTTTAAAATGTACAGTCCAGTGGCTTTCAGTACAATATTGTGCAGCAACCACTGTCTAATTCCAGAACATTTTTACCACCCCAAAAGAAACTTCATACCCATTAAGCAGTTACTCTTGATTCTCCCCTCTGCCCAGCCACTGGCAAACACTAATCTGCTTTTTATCTTTATGGATTTACTTATTCTGGACATCTCATTTAATGGAATTATACAATGTGTGACCTTTTGTGTCTGGCTTCTTTCTTTATAAAGTTTTCGAGGTTTATCCATGTGTAGCATATATAAGCACTTCATTCCTTTTTATGGCTGAATAATATTCCGTTATGTCTATGCCACATCTCTTTTTATCTGTTTCTCAATTGATGGACATTTGGGTGGTTTTTACTTTTTGGCTATTGTGAATAGTGTTGCTATGAATATTTGTGTACAAGTTTTTGTTTGAACACCTGTTTTCATTTTTCTTGGATGTATACCTATGAGTAGACTTGCCATGTCCTATGGTAATTCTATGTTTAACGTTTTGAGGGACTGCCAAACTGTTTTCCACAGTGGCTATACCATTTTACATTCCCAGTAGCAATGTGTGAGGGTTCCAATTTCTTGACATCCTTGTTAGGGACTTTTTTAGTATAGCTATCCTAGTGAGTGTGTAGTGGTATCTCATTGTGATTTTGATTTGCATTTCTCTAATGACTAATGATTTTGAGTGTCTTTTTATGTGCTTGTTGCCCGTTTGTATTTCTTCTTTGGAGAAAGGTCTGTTCAGGTTCTTGGACTATATTTTAATTGGGGTGTTTTCTTTTTGTTGTTGAGTTGTAAGAGTTCTGGACACTAGACCCTTATCTATTCTCTCTCTCCCTGTCTTCCACTCCCCCCTCTCCTTCCTCCCTCCGCTTCTCTCTCTCTCTCTATATATATATATATATATTAGATATTAAATATATATATTTGATATGTATGTTAGTGTGTTATCAGATATATAATGCTAGGTACTAGACTCTTATCAGATATATAATTTGCAAATATTTTCTCCTACACTGGAGCTTGGCTTTTCATTCCTTTGATAGTGTGTTTACATGTACAAGTTTTTTAAAAATTTGGATTGTTTAATTTATCTATTTTTTGTTGTTGATTGCTCATGCTTTTGGTATCATATCTAAGAAATCGTTGCCAAATCTCAGGTCATGAAGATTTCTTACATTTGGGTCTTTGATCAATTTTGATTTAATTTTTATATATGGTGTAAGATAAGGGCCCAACTTCGTTTTTTTGCATTGGACATCAAGTTGTCTCATCACCATTTGTTAAAAAGATGAATTTTTCTTCATTGAATGATCTTGGCACCTTTGTTGAAAATTATTTGACCATAGGTGTATGTGTTTATTCCTGGACTCTCAATTCTGTTTCCTTGATCTGTATGTCTATCCTTATACCCATAATAAACTGTTTTGATTAATATAGCTTTATAGTAAGTTTTGAAGTTGGGAAGTGTGAGTCTTCCAACTTTGTTCTTTTTCAAGGTTGTTTTGGTTTCTTGGAGTCTCTTGCAATTTCATATTATTTTTAGGATGAGCTTTTTCTTTTCTGCAAAAAAGGCTGTTGGAATTTTGATAGGGATAACATTGAATTTGTAGATCACTTTGGAGGATTATTGCCATCTTAATAGTCTTAAATCTTCCAATCCATGAACATGGGATATATTTCCATTTATTTACGTTTTCTTTAATTTCTTTCAGCGGTGTATTACAGTTTTCAGTGTACAAGTCTTGTACCTCTTTGGTTAAATGTATTCCTAACTATTCTTTTTGATGCTAATGGAATTGTTTTCTTCATTTCCTTTTTGGATTGCTTATTGATAGTGTATAAAATATAATTGATTTTGTGTGGGGACATTACTATTATCTTACAGAAATAAAAAGGATTATAAGAGAATACTATGAACAATTATTTGTATGCCAACAAATTAGATAACCAACATGCAATAGAAAAATTACCAGAAACACAAAAATTACCAAAGCTTACTCAAGAAGAAATAGAAAATCCGAATAAACCTATAGCAAGTAAGGAGATTAAATGTATAATAAAAAATCTCCCAAGAAAGAAAAATCCAGGACTTGATGGCTTCACTGGTGAATTCCACCAAACATTTAAAGGAGAATTAACACCAGTCCTTCTCAAATTCTTCCAAAAAATGGAAGAGGAGGGAACATTTCCCAACTATCCTGTGAGGCCAGTACTACTCTGATACCAAAGCCAGACAAAGACATCACAAGAAAAGAAAACTACAGATCAGTCTCTCTTAGAATATAGATACAAAAATCGTCAATAAAATACTAGCAAAACAAATCCTGCAGCACAGTAAAAAGATTATACACCATGGCTAAGTGGGATTAATCGTAAGAATGCAAGGGTGGTTCAACATATGAAAATCAATCAGTGTAATATACCACACTAACAGAGTGCAGGGACAAAAAAAAAAATATCACCATCTCAATTGATGCAGAAAAAGCATTTGACAAATTCCAACACCCTTTTATAATAAAAACTCGAAAAAAGCGAGGAACAGAAAACTTCCTCAATGTGATAAAGGCTATTATATGAAAAACTCACAGCTAATGTCATATTCAATGGTGAAAGACTCAAGGCTTTTACCCCAAGATCAAGAACAAGTCAAG